GCTTCTTAGCCATTTAGAACCAATTCTTCCCTCTTTCGTCCCACTTTCCAGGTTGTCTCAGATACCCTGAGAGTCAGGTTGCCAGAGACAAGTTCCTTGACAAACTCTTCAAGGTTTCGGCAGCACCTAAAAATCTTCCGATGAGTAGGAGTGAGTGGAGGGAGAGGCAACCTGGTGCGAGGTAAATGACATTGGGGGCTTCGCCTCAGTAGCAGGGTCAGCTACGTGATTTGCAGGGCCCAATTCAAGATGAAAAAGAGGGGTTCCTTGTTCTTTTTAAGACGGCGACAACAGTGCATGAAATGAAGCCAGGACCCCCTGGGCTCAGGGTGCTGTGTGAAGACACAGATTTCGGCCCATGAGGCGGGCCCTGATTTGTAGACACCACCCTTGGAACATTCTGCCCACAAACGCCTGCTAGCACTTTCCTCCGAGGCCTCTCCTGCTGCTTTGGAAGTTCCCACAGCGTTTCCTTAATCTCAAGATGTTCTGTTCAGAAATGAAGTGGGAACCATATTTCCCAAAACCATTCCCAAGCTGCCCCTACATGAAACACCCAAGCTTTCTGAATATCAAGGTAAAAAAAATATTAATTTAGAAGACACTGCCTTCTCTTCCTCAGGAAGAGTGTGTGCAGGAAGCCACTTCATGCGTAGACCTAAGGTTAAACTAATTCACCTAATTGGTAGAAAGAGCTACAGCTCTTCAACTTTACAAAGTTGAAATTACACGGTAGCTTCGAAAAGGAAGAAAACTGCTCAGGCGTGGGGCAGAACACATCAGCCGGGACAGAGGATTGAGAAAGGAGTTTGGAGAATTTGACGGCTGCTAGGATGGGTGTGGAAGATTGAGAGAGAGAGATTAAAAAGGAGATTTTAAGAAACTGTGCTTTGTGATTGCAAACTGGCTCCTTTTGATGTTCTTTATCAAAGACTGGACTTGTATTTCCAATTATTTTTGGTTACAGGACTTCTTAAATGCAGCTGTGCAGAGACTGGACCACATGGGGTCCCTAGTCAATATATATTGTATTTCAGGGTAGAGAAAGCCCCTCTCAGCATACATGATAAATTAGAGGCAAAGAACAGGAAGAAAATTCATCTGCAAGATGGCAAATAAATACTTCCAGTTCAGTTTAGGTTACAAGTACATTTGGTGCTTAAGGAATTGACACCGATTGGTATAAAAAGCCCAGATTTAACACATATTATTATTTACTTAGAAGTCATAATAATGTGTAATGGAAAGATGTTCCCAACTAGGTTGAAAAAAGTATCTAAAAAAATAATTCAAAAGACAACTTTTATGATACCCATCTTACACAAGAATGAAAATGTTTAAAGAAAACTTGGTGAGTGCTGTTGAATTATTGTAATGAACAAATGAACAAACCAGCATGAGTGTGGGTCCAACAGTACACAGAGAACCAAGAACAGCCAGGGGTAACGGCTGTCGTCTCACCGTTGAAGAAATGTGGGCCCACTCTGGCAAAACATGGTAGGAAGAAAAGGCTGTTCTGTTCACATCGGTGTTATTTGCTCACCCCGTCTTAGAGGTTCGAGCTGGTGATGGAAGCTAGGGCTGAGGATTTGATTTGAAATAAAAAGCTGATACTTCTCAGCATGAACGAACAAATAATTTTAGGGCTCAATATAAGCATATGGCAAAAATAACAAAATCCAAGTCCGATTTTAAATTATTTATGGTATTTCATAGCTAGTAGTGCAAAAATTGTGTTCATGTGCTCATCTTTCCTGGACTCAGTACAAGGTAGGGGACAAGGGCTGGCAAACATAACAATGTGACAGTGTGCCTTCAAGTTGGAACTGCCAGCTCATGTGACTTGTTGACCCGTAGAGATGCTGATGTCTCTCCAACATCTCTCTCTTTTTTAACAGCTTTAATGAGACATAAGTCACATACCACACAAGTCACCCATTTAAAGTGTACAATTCAATGGCTTTCAGTATATTCAGAATTGTGTAACCATCACCACGATCCATTTTAGAACATTCTCCTTACCCCAAAAAGAATCACTAGACCACTTACCTTCCCGTTTCCCCATTCCCACCCCCTGCCCCACAGCCCACACACAGCCTGAGGCAGCCATGACCTACTTCCGTCACCATGGATTTGCCTATTCTGGGCATTTCGTATAAATAGAAGTTTTCACTTAGCATAACGTTTTCAAGGTTCGTCCGTGTGGTAGCCTGTGTCAGTATTTCGTTCCTTTTCATGGCCAATGGGCAGCACTTCTTAGGAGCACCTGTGGGGCAGAAGGACGACCCCCTTCACTGTCCACATTCCTAGGGGACATGTAGGGGGCTCTCATGGCTGGAAAACGCTCTCTTGACCAGGAGGCATCATAGACCTATGGACCAAACCCAGGCTTTGTCACCTGCCAGGGACAAATCTACATGCAGCTCTGCTACTTACCTGGGCAATGTATTGAGCCTGTTTCCTCATCTGTGAGAGGAGATAATGACGACTTTGTAAAGATTAGAATAATGTGTGTAAGTTGCCTTGTAAGAATCTGTTACCTCATTGGTTTTCATAATAGTAATCGGTAGAGTGTAAGGAAAGACTTCACTGGTTTCATCAATTTCCTTTTCTGCTGTGGGTTACCACAACAATTTTTTTTTTAAGTGATACACTAATGAATGTGCACAAACATCTCCTGGTGTCATGCTCACCTGTGACAGTAATTTACAGAACATGAGTCCTCCCGCCCCATTCCTGGAGACCACTGCTGTGGACGGAGAAAGAGAAAGGACAAAAGAAGCTGTCAGTGGTTGGGCCGATGCTGAGGACCTTGTGTGTCATCTGTGACTCCTCCCTGCGTGCCTACTTCCTGACAGTGTTGTCCCACACGTGAAAATACTGACAAACACACGCTATTCGACTCACGTAGTCAGTTCGGTTACCACACATCTCAGCCCCAGGGCACTGACTGTACTCTGGGAAGGAAAGGACAGCTAAGTCAGGCCACGGTTCATGTTTCGGGGCTTCTCTGAAGACGAGAACCCTTGATGACAGATTTAGCATTCTCTGCTAAAGAGGAACGAACAATCAGTATTGAATCGTCGGGATTAGTGGAGGCGTCGTGGTGGGCTTCACAGACAACCTTGCAGAGACAATGTGTTAACTAGGAAGGATGCTGGAGTTGCCTCTTTTTTTCCTTTTTCTTTTTTTCTTTTCTTTTCTTAAATTTTTTTGTGTTTTTTTATTTTTAATTTTTTTTTTTAGCTATGTGGTCCATAGCAAGTTTCTTTCTTTTTAAAAATTTTCTTTACCTTTAATTATACAGATCCTAAATGGATACATTTGTGTTCTTAAAAATAGGTATAAAAGTAAAGTCCCCTGCAAGCACCATCCCTCCATCTCAGTACTCTCCCAAGAGGAAGGATTTGGTATTCTGTTGAGCATTTTTCTATTCATTACATAGATAATCATCGAAATATATAATTTTGTTGTATGTGTAGCATTAATGGTATATATGTATGTAGGTACATATGGTATATACTTTCCTGGCAATTGGCTTATTTTACTTAATGTCAAGTTTTGACAATCTTACAATGTCTATCCAATCCATAAAGGGCTGCATCAGTTTTTAAAAACTGCCAGATGAGGGCCGGGCGTGGTGGCTCATGCCTGTAATCCTAGCACTCTGGGGGGCCGAGGCGGGCGGATTGTTTGAGCTCAG